ACGGAGAATATTTAAAAAAAAATCATTTTAATTCTTCTTCACTTTCAATCACTCGTTATCAAGCAAACGCACACTATCACAAATCTGTCCATACAATTTCTGCGTTGTGTCGCGCACCGTGCAGTTTGCATTAAAATCACAATTGAAATAAAAGTTTTGATTTTTAATTAAGATTAAAATTTGTACACTCTGCTGAAGTTCTGTAAATCAGGCTAGTTAAATTCGATTTAACGCCATAGGAAAAGTGTGTCCATGGCAGATAAGGCCTTAGGTAAACTTATTAATTTTATAGGATGTCGATGAAGGTTAGTTTACAAAAAGCTTTAATACAAGTGTTGGGGTATTGATTTGTTTGCCTCTTAAAAAGCACGAAAGTTTACCTCCATGCTACAAAGTACCTCCATCTGTGGAAATGACTCGTTATCACACAAACACACACTATTTGTCCATACAATTTCTGCGTTGTCGTGCACTGTGCGGTTTGCATTAAAATCACAATTATTATAAAATAAAAGTTTTGATTTTGTTAGCAATTAAGATTTATTATTGTACACTCTGAAGTTGTGTAAATCAAACTAGTTAAATTAGATTTAGCAATTTGTTTTCTGTATTGTCGCCACGGGTTTGATTCGTGAACAACTCTAGATTTTAATCATAATAACCTGGTCGAATTCTGTGATAAATACCAAACGTACTACGTTGTGTTTCTTTATTTCGTTTCAAGTTGCATTATATTTGAGTTTTGTCTTGCATGTCAATAATTTTTACAAGTTTTTATTAGCAGCTCTGGAAAGAAGTGAGTAACGTAATCCACTTATCTTTCCTTTTTCTATACTTATAGCTTGTTTTTAGGCTATTATAAAACATAAGGGATAATATTATTTATATTAATATATACATATATAATACATAAGTAAAGATTATTACCACTTTAAATTTAGTCGGCCAAATGAGCTATTGTCCAGCTTAAATCTTTATGGTATTAGCTTTTTATCTAAAAGTCATACTTGTAGTTTTGTGTTATTGATCTAAATAAGATAAATTAAAATTTAGTTTTAAATTTTTAAAAAACACAAAATATACCTATGAACTTGAATTATGTTGTTCTCCTCTATAAACCCTTCGTTGGTATCGATGTTAGCGTTCCGTTATTAAACTTATTATAGAAACCACTTATACATATAATACCAGATTGTTTTAAAACCGCATCTACCTCTTATCAATATAATGTTAAATCAAAGTATCAAAAAAAAAAAAAATTGTTATTTATTTGTGGGTATGATGACCGGTCGACGTCTGCAGAATTGCATAATGTCAGCTTACGCTTGCGTTTGCATGAGACTTACCGTGTTTATTTATATACATATATAAAAACATTCATACATTAAAATAGAAAAGAAATGCGAACAGGTGTAATTTTTTAAAATAAAAACTTAATGTTAACAGTTATAAAAAAAAAATAATGTAATAAGTAATGGGGTTTAGTTTAATTTTTATTAAATACATTTTTTAATTATCATAAATAAAAATTAAAAGTTGATAGAAATTTTTAATGAAATAGACTATAAGTAATGTCCTCATAGTAAAATACTTAAAACTTTATAAAAATATTATTAATTAGTTACATTTTCTTTACAAAGAGGTATTTATTATATGGATATGTCTCGTTTCTTATCTCTCATATTTTATTTCTAATATTATATCTCTACATTTTGTATCTACAATATCGTACATTTTATATCTTATCTATAATATCTCTAATCGCATATCTCTAATTTTTAGCCAGACATTAAAAATTATTTATCAGCTGTTTCATTCACAAAACATCCGCTTAATCGCGCCACACGCACACATTTCCCTCGGTAGCGTTCAGCGTCATTCAAGCATTTTCTTAATGTCCCCAAGTCAAAAGACATATCCATGTCAAAAATATAGTTTAGTCGTTTATGAGAATTTATTATTATTTCTGTCAAGTTTAAGATTAAAAGACGTCGGTCATAAAAAGTCTCAAGGTACTCAATGTAAAAGTGGACTTTAGATAGAGTACACTTTTTAGGTTTTAAATCTTATGGCACTCGGATGTTTATTGTCCATATTCTAATAAATGTGAACGTTACATTGTGTTATGTAGGATAAGTTTAGGCAACTCGATCAAATAAAAATTGAGTAAAGAAGACTTTTGTATGTCATCTAAAATTAATCAAATTAATTCTTAAAAAGGATGCGTTGTATATTTAATATTAAAACTTGCTGTATGACATCAAAATATATTTTTCTTAAATTAATTTGTTTTGTTTCAAACGTGTTGCAGTATTTATTTTTCGTGTAAAGCGACAGATATCTCAAATAATACAAAGACAATGGATTGTAGTTTTAACGAAACTATAGATAATAATTCTCAGAAAGATATATACAAAATACGTCGGTTCGACTGCAATATGTGTCAAAGGAGGTTTACAACCAAAAGTAATATAATCCGGCATATTGCGAAATCGCATTCCAGTACTTCCATTGAAAAGAAAACACCTCAAAAAAATAAAGTCAATCATCGTAACAGCAAAATCAAAGGAAATACTCGAAACAAAGATGGCCTATTTAATTGTGGTATTTGTTTGAAAACGTTTTCATTAAAATCAAGCCTGAGAAGACATTGGCGCGTTCATACCGGGGAGAAACCCTTTAAATGCGATATCTGTGAAAAAACATTTGGTAGACAACATCACCTCAAGATTCATAAACGCACACATACCGTCGAAAAACCGTTTAAATGCGATGTCTGTCAAAAGGCTTTTTGCGACCAATCTTACATCAAAATTCATAAAAGGATACATACCGGCGAGAAGCCCTTTAAATGCAATATTTGTGAAAAAAAATTTGGTCAGATATCTCACCTCAAAACTCATGAACGCATACACACCGCCGAGAAACCTTTTAAGTGCGATGTCTGTGAAAAAACATTCAGTCATCAATCTGCTCTCAAGAGACATGCACGTATTCATACCGGCGAGAAACCGTTTAAATGCGATGTCTGTGAAAAAACATTTAGTCTACAACAAAGTCTTAAAAAACATGAAAGGATACATACTGGTGAAAAACCTTATAAATGCGTTGTCTGTGAAAAAACATTCAGTCAACAAACTCATCTCAAGAACCATGCACGTATTCATACCGACGAGAAACCATTTAAATGCGATGTCTGTGAAAAATGTTTTAATATACAATCTAACCTCAAAGTTCATGAAAGAACACATACCGGCGAGAAACCATTTAAATGCGATGTCTGTGAAAAAACATTCAGTTTAAAGTCCTATCTCATAATTCATGAACGCATACATATTGGTGGGGTACGATACAAATGCTCAGCCTGTGACAAATCATATGGTCGCCAAGATACTCTCAAAAGGCATCAAGCAAAAGCACACGGCTCATAGTTTCATAAACCTTACGTGACTATTTGGCAGTTTTTCAAAATCGATTTGTTATTATTTTGCAATTTTTTTTACTTACGATTTATTTCAGATTTAGTATACTTTTATTAGTTTTCTTATAATATTTAATTTATTACTATCGTTTAACAGATCAATAACATAAGTATTAGTTTTTAATTTATTTTTTCGACGGATCACATGAATTATTTAGTATTTATATTTTTATAATGTATTTTTTAATTTTCATAATCTACACACACAAAATGCTAAACAATTTTGTTACTATTCTTATTTTTTATTATAAAATGTTAGTAGTCTTTTTAGTTACAGATGGTTTTGAAGAGAATGGTTTATAATATATGTTAATTTGTATTTTAAAATTGATTTTTAATTTAAAATATTTGTTAATTTTTGAGCGTTGAATTATGCGAACCATGTTTAAAATCAAAATAAAATATTTTATTATTTCGTCAATTATGATTACATTATGTTAGTTTCATTCATATTTTTAGAATAAGTTTTTCGTTTTTTTAATTCGAAGAATTATTAAGATTGAACGACAGTAAACCAAACCTGACCATTATTAATAAATGTCATTCGGGAAAGTAAGGAGAATATGCCTACTTCAATATATACGTTTATTATTAAATAATTAGTAAAAATAATTTTGTTCAATATATTTGTGTGATTAGTTCCCAAGAAAACATAATACCGTGTTTGAGAGTAATAACATTAGTTTTATTTTGAGACTTTTTTTTTATAAACATCTTTTTCAAATAATTATTAAATATTGGAATTTTAAATGATTTATGTACATGGATAAATTATATGACCATAATGAACAAACTGTTTAAGTGTTCGTCAAATATCGTCTATGTTTAAAGAACTATTCGTAAGTGCCACTTTTGTTTGGGCATGCACCATTTTGACGTGGCTAAACATGTTCGTCTAAGACATCGGCTATCCGCCTCTTTGATTGTGACATATTTAATTTGACGGGTTGTTAAATTACTCCGCCTTGTTGAGGCTCGTTTCAGACAATGTAGTTAAAATGAAAAGTATATTTCACTAAGACTAATACAGTCTAATGGTTAAACACTTTTAGAAATTTAGTATAATAGTTTGGTGTTTTAAATCGTAAAATATAGAAGCATTTGAAGAAAAAAAAAGGTTTTATTGTGTTATTTCTTTAAATAAGCTTTGATACAAGAGTTTGGAATTTAATTTATTTGCCTCCGAAAATGCACGACAGTTAACCTTCACGCTACAAAGTACCTCCATCTGTGGCAATCACTCGTTATCAAACAAACGCACACTATCACAAATCTGTCCATACAATTTCTGCGTTGTATCGTGCACTGTGCAGTTTGCATGAAAATCACAATTGAAATAAAAGTTTTGATTTTTAATTAAGATTAAAATTTGTACACTCTGCTGAAGTTCTGTGAATCAAACTAGTGAAACAATTAGATTGAGCGCCCTAGGTACAATTGGTTTTCTGTATTGTCGCCACGGCCCCGCTTCGTGAGAATATCTAGATTTTAATCATAATTACTTGGTCGAATTCTGTGATAAACACCTAACGTACTGCGTTGTGTTTCTTTATTTCATTTCAAGTTGCGTTACAATTGAGTTTTGTCTTGCATGTCAATAGTTTATTATAAGTTTTCAGTAGCAGCCCTGGAAAGCGGATTACGGTTCTACGTTGTGTGAGTACCTATTGTTTTGTATTTCTAATTTATATACATTATTGCCGTGTTTACTGTCTGCCGAGGACTTAAAACACTGCTTGTGAATAAAAAGAATCATAATTTATTTGGTAGCTTGTTACTTATTATTTATCCGGAGTTGAGTAGAGTGATATGGGATCAACACCATTTTTAATTAATCTAGTGGCAAAATGGGCAATCGTCTAGCTTTGATCTGTATTGTGTTAGCTTCTTACCTACAATTCATGCTTGTAGCTTTGGGTTATTAATCTTACTTTATTTGTTACTTAATAAAATAGTTTAAATTGTGCAATTTATTTGTCCTATTTAACCTATATGGATATACGATACAGAAATAACACTTGTGTTAAATGTCAATTATAGAGTTTTGAAGCGGTATAATATGTTGAAAATTAAAGATGAAATTGATGAAACAGAAAAACACTTCTTTGAAACAACGTTTGGAGCCGTTGAAACAAAACCGTTGGATGAGCCGTTTGAAAACAATGAAATATCTACAACAGAGGAGTATTTGGTGAAGAATGAAGTCGACAATACTTATGAGTAAGGCTATTTGTATTAATATTTTGTGTTTACTAAATAAAACAAAAAAGCTTTTGTAATGCTGTAGTCCGCTGTAGTGATTCGCATTATGATATGTCCAACAATAAACACCAAACTGACAAGTTGGTAAATGAAACACAGTATAAAACCCAAATATATTCAATTCAGCTGTAAGAATTTGATCATGTAAAAATTTACCACTGAAAAATTGGTTGGTTTTTATTTTCAAAATAATGTAAACTAAATTATTCTTTTTTATTATGTTCAAGCTTCAGGCACTTAGTCAGTAAGCTGTCTTCTTTGTTATATCATTATTATTACTATATTTGTTACTAAATAAAATAGCTAAAATTGTACAATTTAGTCGTCCTACTAATCCTCTATGCATATATAGCACAGAAATACAACTAATGTTAAATGTCAATTATAGAGTTTTGAAGCGGTTTAATATATTGAAAATTAAACCTGAAAATGATGAAACAGAAGAAGAGTTGTTGGAAAAATCGTTAGAAGTCGTTGATACCAAACCGTTAGATATGAAGTTCATAAACAATGAAATTTCTACAACAGAAGAGTGTATGGTTAAGAATGAAGTCGACAATAATTATGAGTAAGGTTATTTTTATTACCATTTTTTTTTTCTTAAATAAAACTTTAAAACTTTTGTAATTATGTTATCATCCTCCATAAACCCATCATTGGTATCGATGTTAGCATTTCGCTATTATGAAACTTATATTAGTAACCACTTGTTCATATAATAATATATTATTTTAAAATCGCATCTACCTCTTATCAATATAATGTTCAATCAAAGTATCAAAACAAAAAAAAATTGATATTTATTTGTGGGTATGATGACCGGTCGACGTCTGCAGTATCCCATAATGTTAGCTTACGCTTGCGTTTGCATGCGACTTACCGTGTTTATTTATATACATATATAGAAAACATTCCTACATTAAAATAGGAAAAAAATGCGAACAGGTGTGATTTTTTAAAATAATGTTACTAATGTTTACTTAATGTTAATAGTTATAAAAAAAAATAATGTAATAAGTAATGGGGTTTGTTTAATTTTTATTAAATACATTTTTTATTATCATAAATAAAAATTAAAAGTTCATGGAAAATTTTAATGAAATAGACTATAAGTAATGTCCTCATAGTAAAATACTTAAAACTTTATAAAATATTATTAATTAGTTACATTTTGTTTTCTTTTCAAAGAGGTATTTATTATATGGATATGTCTCGTTTCTTATCTCTCATATTTTATTTCTAATATTATATCTCTACATTTTGTATCTACAATATCGTATATTTTATATCTTATCTTATCTATAATATCTCTAATTTTTAGCCAGACATTAAAAATTATTTATCAGAAATTTTCATTTCTGCCGAGTTAAGGGTTAAAAGACGTCGGTCATTAAAAAGTCTTAAGGTACTCAATGTAAAAGTGGACTTTAGATAAAGTACACTTTTTAAGTTTCAAATCTTATGTTATTCGGACGTTTATTATCCATATTTTAACAAATGTGAACGTTACATTGTATTTTATAGGATAAGTTTAGGCAACTCAATCAAATAAAAATTGCCTTAATAGTAGATCATCATATGTCATGTAAAACCAATAAAATTAACTCTTTAAAATTATGCGTTGTACATTTAATATTAGTAATATTAATACTTGATGTATAATATCAAAATATATTTGTCTTAAATTAATCTATTATGTTCCATACATGTTGCAGTATTCATTTTCCGTGTAAAGCGACCGATACCTCAAACAATACAAAAACCATGGATTGCAGTTTGAACAAAACTATAGAAAACGATTCTGAGAAAAACATACACAAATTACGTCGGTTCGACTGCAATATATGTCAAAGGAGGTTTATAACCAAAAGTAATATAATCTGGCATATTGCGAAATCACATTCCAGTACTTCCATTGAAAAGAAAGCACCTCAAAAAAATAAAGTCAATCATCGTAACAGCAGAATCAAAAAGTATACTCAAAACAAAGATGGCCTATTTTATTGTGGTATTTGTTCGAGAACTTTTTCATTAAAATCAAGCCTGAGAAGGCATTGGCGCGTTCATACCGAAAAGAAACCCTTTAAATGCGATATCTGTGATAAAACATTTGGTAGACAATCTTACCTCAAAACTCATGAACGCATACATACTGGTGAAAAACCGTTTAAATGTGATGTCTGTAAAAAATGTTTTAATGTACAGTCTAACCTCAAAACTCACGAAAAAACACATACCGGCGAGAAACCATTTAGATGCGTTGTCTGTGGAAAAACATTCAGTCAACAAATTAGTCTCAAAATTCATAAACGCATACATACCGGTGAGAAACCATATAAATGCGTTATCTGTGAAAAAACATTCATTCAACAATCTGATCTCAAGAAACATGCTCGTGTACATACCGGTGAGAAACCTTATAAATGCAATGTTTGTAAAAAATCCTTCATTCAACAGCCTGATCTCAAAAAACATGCACGTGTACATACCGGCGAGAAACCATTTAAATGCCGTGTCTGTGAAAAAGCATTCATTCAACAATCTAATCTCAAGAGACACGCACGCATACATACCGGTGAGAAACCATATAAATGCGTTATCTGTGAAAAAACATTCATTCAACAATCTTGTCTCAAGAAACATGCTCGTGTACATACCGGTGAGAAACCTTACAAATGCGATATCTGTCAAAAAACATTCATTCAACAATCTAATCTCAAGAAACATGTACGTATACATAACGGCGAGAAACCTTTTAAATGCGATATCTGTAAAAAGTCTTTTTGTGACCAATCCAACCTAAAAACTCACGAAAGAACACATACCGGGGAGAAACCTTATAAATGCGTTGTCTGTGAAAAAACATTCGGTCAACAATCTGATCTCAAGAAACATGCACGTATACATACCGGCGAGAAACCATTTAAATGCGATGTCTGTGAAAAAACATTCAGTCAAAAGTCCAATCTCATCATTCATGAACGCATACATATTGGTGGGGTACGATACAAATGCTCAGCCTGTGACAAATCATATGGTCGCCAAGGTACTCTCAAAAGTCATCAAGCAAAAGCACACGGCCCATAGATTCATAAACCTTATTTGACTATATGGCAGTTATAAAATTGTTTTTCGAAATCTATTTGTTATTATTTGCAATTTTTTTTTCTTGGCATTTAATTCAGATTTTATATATTTTTATTAGTTTTCTTAAAATATTTTAAATATTACTATCGTTTAACTGATCAATAATATATACACTTGCACAAAGGCATTTAGTGAAACCAATATGTTTTTATACGTGTTTAGCGTGTAATCAACATGTTATATAATTTGGCAATTTAGTTTCACTGTTAAAAATTGAGTAACTGAAGATTGTACAAACATTACCAATAGATACCAATGTATTTAGTATTTATGTTAGTTGGTAGAAACATATGTATCCATATAAATTTATTTTTAATTCTTAAATAAAATGAACAAACATGTGCTTAAATTGAAAACTGTGTAAATAAATATAACCTATATACTGTTATAATTATGTGGCATAATATTAATATTATTTAACACAATATAATTGATTTAGGTAACTTATAAAACTTATTTGAAAAAGTAACACTAATGCATAATTGGGGTATTTTCTTGTTTAAGTATTTTTACATGCTTAATTAAATTAATTATTATTAACTAACTATATATTATTATAAACTTTTCGATATTGTTGATTTATTCGTATTTGTTAATTCTTTGGGAGATTAAAGAGTTGCTACAGCCTACTGAAAGAAATCGTTTCAGTGTTTAAAACACACAAAAAAAAAAAAAAAAGAATGTGAGACCAAATCTGTAAAATCATCACATTCTCAGTTCCGCATCGTAGTTAAAATTTTGCTTCTGTTCATTATGTTTTGTGTTTTATTCGTTTTGATGCGATGCTGAAAGATCACTACAATGATATTGATTTAATGCGTTTTTCTAGTTCATCTCTTCTACCTTTTTAATCTAAAATAACCCACTAGAATGTACGTATTTTTCAACTTGATATTATCCATAGTCACCTGCGTATCCAACTTTAGCGGAATGAGTGAATGTATCTAATTCTAGCTTTATTTGTCATTTTTTACCTTTAGTGTAAATTAAATTTACTTAGTTTTTTAATTTTTAAAAATTAATTTTATTAAACTTTTTAAGTTAAAATTAAGTTTTATTAAACATTTTATTTTAAAACTATAATTACTGAATTCAAACTTACACATTATAGTTTAAACGTTAAATGAAGTTTTTGCAATAAATTACTTTTACCGAAGTGAATTCCTTTATAAATAATAGGCGAAACGTCTTTCTAACTAAACATGTTAAACATATTATCATTGAAATAAACGCTCAAAAAACAGAAACATATTCAGAACTAGTACCTATATAAAATAGCAGTATATAATATATATTTATGACATATATTTATGTAATTTCACATTGATAACTAATTTTGTTCTTCATGTTTAGCCCCATCCCCATGCAATCCGACATATGGCCAGGGTGAGGATTTTTTTTTAATTACCGAATATCGAAACTTGTTTGAAAATAATTAGTCGTTTTAAAATTTGTAATAATTACTTAAACAAATAAATTTGAATATGAAATAAAATTGTATTCATAGTTTCAAAAATGTACTATCTGCCATATGGTCAAGGTGAAAAACAACAAAGAGTTAAATATTAATTTTACCAGTACATTTTCCCCTTACTTTTGTGATGACATTTCTACGAACAAATAATATAATATGTTATTGCCAATAGAACAAAGAGTACTGAATACTGCTAGAAATATACAGTATAACACGAGCAATTTAATTAACCTACTATCAGTTGACATGGATTAACTAATATGAGGAGTTCATTGATACCTTATTATTTTCATTATATTTAGAATTTAGATACTCATTCACCATGTCTTCAACCTCCAGACTCCATCATGTCAATGAGAGTGTGAACCTAAGCCCTACCATTAAATCGATAAGGTAACTTAAGTTTTAGGTAAATACTATAATAGTAATATATACTAAGTTTATATACAATAACATATATATATATATATTATATTATGTAAAATGTTTGTATTATTATTACATTGTTATATTGAGAGTAACACAAAATTAGTAATACTAACAATACATTTTCTTGAGATTTTATGAAAAGACAAAACTAACTTGCATACGGATAGAATAGTTTTTTTTAAATGTGAGATTTTCTTTTATGATAAAAAAAACCAAGTAATTTAAATAATCCAACTATTAACACAAAAGCCAGCACATATTTAGTTTCTCGAAAAAAATGTACGCTTAGTGCACATTTCGCTTAAACAATTATAATATTATAGCAAAAATAAAAGTTTAAAAAAAATCATTTTAATTCTACTACTTTGCCTATGTTGAGGCTCGTTTAAGACAGTGTAGTTAAAATGAAAAGTATATTTCACTAAGACTAAATACAGTCTAATGGTTAAACACTTTTAGAAATATAGTATAATTGTTTATAGTTGTTAAATAATGCATTTGGGAAAAAAAGGGTTTTATTGTGTTATTTCTTTTATTAAGCTTTGATACAAGAGTTTGGAATTTAATTTATTTGCCTCTTGAAATGCACGAGAGTTTACCTTCACGCTACAAAGTACCTCCATCTGTGGCAATCACTCGTTATCAAGCAAACGCACACTATCACAAATCTGTCCATACAATTTCTGCGTTGTGTCGCGCACCGTGCAGTTTGCATTAAAATCACAATTGAAATAAAAGTTTTGATTTTTAATTAAGATTAAAATTTGTACACTCTGCTGAAGTTCTGTAAATCAAGCTAGTTAAATTCGATTTAACGCCATAGGAAAAGTGTGTCCATGGCAGATAAGGCCTTAGGTAAACTTATTAATTTTATAGGATGTCGATGAAGGTTAGTTTACAAAAAGCTTTAATACAAGTGTTGGGGTATTGATTTGTTTGCCTCTTAAAAAGCACGACAGTTTACCTCCATGCTACACAGTACCTCCATCTGTGGAAATGACTCGTTATCACACAAACACACACTATTTGTCCATACAATTTCTGCGTTGCCGTGCACTGTGCGGTTTGCATTAAAATCACAATTATTATAAAATAAAAGTTTTGATTTTGTTAGCAATTAAGATTTATTATTGTACACTCTGAAGTTGTGTAAATCAAACTAGTTAAATTAGATTTAGCAATTTGTTTTCTGTATTGTCGCCACGGGTTTGATTCGTGAACAACTCTAGATTTTAATCATAATAACTTGGTCGAATTCTGTGATAAATACCAAACGTACTACGTTGTGTTTCTTTATTTCGTTTCAAGTTGCATTATATTTGAGTTTTGTCTTGCATGTCAATAATTTTTTACAAGTTTTTATTAGCAGCTCTGGAAAGCTGTGAGTAACGTAATCCACTTATCTTTTCCTTTTTCTATACTTATAGCTTGTTTTTAGGCTATTATAAAACATAAGGGATAATATTATTTATATTAATACGTACATATATAATACATAAGTAAAGATTATTATCACTTTAAATTTAGTCGGCCAAATGAGCTATTGTCCAGCTTAAATCTTTATGGTATTAGCTTTTTATCTAAAAGTCATACTTGTAGTTTTGTGTTATTAATCTAATTAAGATAAATTCAAATTTAGTTTTAAATGTTTAAAAAACACAAAATATACCTATGAACTTGAATTATGTTGTTCTCCTCTATAAACCCTTCGTTGGTATCGATGTTAGCGTTCCGTTATTAAACTTATTATAGGAACCACTTATACATATAATACCAGATTGTTTTAAAACCGCATCTACCTCTTATCAATATAATGTTAAATCAAAGTATCAAAAAAAAAAAAAATTGTTATTTATTTGTGGGTATGATGACCGGTCGATGTCTGCAGAATTGCATAATATCAGCTTACGCTTGCGTTTGCATGAGACTTACCGTGTTTATTTATATACATATATAAAAACATTCATACATTAAAATAGAAAAGAAATGCGAACAGGTGTAATTTTTTAAAATAAAAACTTAATGTTAACAGTTATAAAAAAAAAATAATGTAATAAGTAATGGGGTTTAGTTTAATTTTTATTAAATACATTTTTTAATTATCATAAATAAAAATTAAAAGTTGATAGAAAATTTTAATGAAATAGACTATAAGTAATGTCCTCATAGTAGAATACTTAAAATTATTTATCAGTTCTTTAAGTTACAAAACATCCGCTTAATAGCAGCACACGCACACATTGTCTTTTGTAACGTTCAGTGCCATTCACGCACGCACGCAAAGATTTTCTTAATGTCCCTGATCCAAAAGCCATATTCATGTTAAAAATTTAATTTAGTCGTTTCATGTGAATTTTTTATTTTTGCCGAGTTAAGGGTTAAAAGACGTCAATCATTTAAATGTCTTAAGGTACTCAATGTAAAAGTGGACTTTAGATAGAGTACACTTTTTAAGTTTTAAATCTTATGGCACTCGGATGTTTATTGTCCATATTCTAATAAATGCGAACGTTACATTGTATTTTATAGGATAAGTTTAGGCAACACAATCAAATAAAAATAGCCTTAATAGTAGACTATTGTATGTCATGTAAAATCAATAAAATGAATTCTTAAAAATGATGCGTTGTACATTTAATATTAGTAATATTAATACTTGCTGTATAATATCAAAGTATATTTGTCTTAAATTAATCTATTATATTCCATACATGTTGCAGTATTCATTTTCCGTGTAAAGCGACCGATACCTTAAACAAAACAAAAACCATGGATTGCAGTTTGAACAAAACTATAGAAAACGATTCTGAGAAAAACATACACAAAATACACTGCAAGTTCGACTGTAATATATGTCAAAGAAGGTTTACAACCAAAAGTAATATAATCCGGCATATTGCGAAATCGCATTTTATTTCTTTGCCTCCTAAATTGCAAGACCGTTTACCTCCACGCTACAAAGTACCTCCATATGTGGCAATCACTTGTTATCACACAAACACACACTATCTGTCCATATAATTTCTGCGTTGTCATTCAGTTTTCATTGGAATCACATCTAATGTGATGATTGTTGGTACCACTACCCACCGTACCCCCACCTGCGCCGGGAGAAGCGTAAGGACGATGCCGCAGCCATTTTTGGTCCGCCATTCGATAATCTCACACGACTTCGTCTACACGCTTGGCGTCTTTTTTCCAAGCAGACATTCTGTTAATAACTTTGTGCTGTACACGTTAGGTAAATATACAAGCTGTTATATTTAAATAAATAAAACTGCCAATTTGTTTGCAGTATTGGTGCCACGGGTCCGATTCGTGAACATCTCTAGATTTCAATCATAATAACTTGGTCGAATTCTGCGATAAATACCTTAAGTATTGCGTCGTGTTTCGTTATTTCGTTACAATTGTGTTTTTTCTTGCATGTCAATAATTTATTATAAGTTTTTATAAGCTGCTCTGGAAGGCGGTTTACGGTTCTACATTGTGTGAGTATCTATTGTTTTGTATTTCTAATTTATATACATTATTGCCGTGTTTACTGTCTCCCGCGGGCATAAAACACTGCTTTTGAATAAAAAGAATCATAATTTATTTGGTAGCTTGTTACTTATTGTTCATCCGGAGTTGAGTAGAGTAATATAGGATCAACACCATTTTAAAGTAATCTAGTCGGCAAAATGGCCAATCGTCTAGCTTTGATCTTTATTGTGTTAGCTTCTTACCTATAAGCCATGCTTGTAGCTTTGTGTTATTCATCTAATTCGAGTAAATTAAAATTAAGATTTAAATGTTTAAACAAACAAAATATACTACTGAAAACTCAGTGGTTTTTTACAAGTAATGTAAACTAAATTATTCTTTACTATATCATTATTATTACTTTATTTGTTACTTAATAAAATAGTTAAAACTGCAATTTAGTATCCTATTTAAACCTCTTTGCATAAGTGGTACAGAAAAAAACAACTAAAGCTCAATGTCAATTACAGAGTTTTGAAACGGTAAAATATGTTGAATATTAAACCTGAAAATGACGATGCAGAAGAATACTCCGTTGAACCAAAACCGTTTGATGTGCTGTTCAAAAACAATGAAATATCTATAGTAGAGGATTATTTGGTTAAGAATGAAGTAGATGATACTTATGAGTAAGGCGATATTAATTACCATTTATTTTATCTTAAACAAAACTATTAAAATTTGTGCCTGATGGTATCAATATAGGCGTTTCGCTAACATTAAACTTATATTAGGAACCATTTGTTCATTTAATAATAGATTGATTGATTTAAAACTACATCTACCTCTTATCCATATAGAGATCCATTAAAATATTTAAAAAAACAAAATTGTAAACATTTTATTTGTGAGTGTGTTGTCTGCAGCACCACATTATGTTAGCGTACGTTTTGTACGATACTTACCGAGTTATTTATATAAATATATAGAAAACATTTTTACAATTATTTTTCATTCTTTCATTAAGTTAATAAAAAATGCGAATAAGTGTCATTTTTTATTACAAAAACTATATATTAAAATTTATGTTTTTTACTATTAGAATATACATTTAGAATGTATACTAAATTATCTTTATTATATCATTAGTAGACTATATTTGTTACTAAATAAAATAATTAAAATTGTGAATTTAGTTGTCCTACTATTCCTCTATGCATATATAGCACAGAAATACAACTAATGTTTAATGTCAATTATAGAGTTTTAAAGCGGTTTAATATATTGAAAATTAAACCTGAAAACGATGAAACAAAAGAAGAGTTGTTGGAAAAATCGTTTGAAGTCAATGAAAACAAACCGTTCGATATGCAGTTCTTAAACAATGAAATTTCTACAACAAATAAGTGTTTAGTAAAGAAGGAAGTCGATAATAATTATGAGTAAGGTTATTTTTATTACCATTTTTTTTTCTAAACCAAAACTTTAAAACTTTTGTAATTATGTTATCCTCCTCCATAAACCCATCAGTGGTATCGATGTTAGCGTTTCGCTATTATTTAACTTATATTAGGAACTGCTTGTTTATATAATAATATATTATTTTAAAACCGTATCTACCTTTTATCAATATAATGTTAAATCAAAGTATCAAAAAAACAAAATTGTGAAAACATTTAATTGTGGGTTTGATGTCCGGTCAACGTCTGCAGCATCGCATGATGTTAGCGTACGTTTGCGTTGGCATAAGAAGTACCGGTTTTTTTTATATACATATATAGAAAACTTTCATACATTAAAATAGAAAAAAAAAATGCGAACAGGTGTCATTTTTTAAAATAAAATCTTAATGTTAACAGTTATAAAAAAAAAATCATGTAATAAGTAATGGGGTTTGTTTAATTTTTATTAAATACATTTTTTAATTATCATAAATAAAAAATAAAAGTTCCTCATAGTAAAATACTTAAAACTTTATAAAAATATTATTAATTAGTTACATTTTGTTTTCTTTTTAAAGAGGTATTTATTATACGGATATGTCTCGTTTCTTATCTCTCATATTTTATTTCTAATATTATATCTCTACATTTTGTATCTACAATATCGTACATTTTATATCTTATCTATAATATCTCTAATCGCATATCTCTAATTTTTAGCCAGACATTAAAAATTATTTATCAGCTGTTTCATTCACAAAACATCCGCTTAATCGCGCCACACGCACACATTTTCCTCGATAGCGTTCAGCGTCATTCAAGCATTTTCTTAATGTCCCCAAGCCAAAAGACATATCCATGTCAAAAATATAGTTTAGCCGTTTATGAGAATTTATTATTATTTCTGTCAAGTTTAAGATTAAAAGACGTCGGTCATAAAAAGTCTCAAGGTACTCAATGTAAAAGTGGACTTTAGATAGAGTACACTTTTTAAGTTTTAAATCTTATGGCACTCGGATGTTTATTGTCCATATTCTAATAAATGTGAACGTTACATGTATTATGTAGGATAAGTTTAGGCAACTCGATCAAATAAAAATTGAGTAAAGAAGACTTTTGTATGTCATCTAAAATTAATCAAATTAATTCTTAAAAAGGATGCGTTGTATATTTAATATTAAAACTTGCTGTATAACATCAAAATATATTTTTCTTAAATTAATTTGTTTTGTTTCAAACGTGTTGCAGTATTCATTTTTCGTGTAAAACACAGTCCAATTGCGACCAATCTTACATCAAAATTCATAAAAGGATACATACCGGCGAGAAGCCCTTTAAATGCAATATTTGTGAAAAAAAATTTGGTCAAATATCTCACCTCAAAACTCATGAACGCATACACACCGCCGAGAAACCTTTTAAGTGCGATGTCTGTAAAAAAACATTCAGTCATCAATCTGCTCTCAAGAGACATGCACGTATTCATACCGGCGAGAAACCGTTTAAATGCGATGTCTGTGAAAAAACATTCAGTCATCAATCTGCTCTCAAGAGACATGCACGTATTCATACCGGCGAGAAACCGTTTAAATGCGTTGTCTGTGAAAAAACATTCAGTCAACAAACTCATCTCAAGAACCATGCACGTATTCATACCGAAGAGAAACCCTTTAAATGCGATGTCTGTGAAAAATGTTTTAATATACAATCGAACCTCAAAGTTCATGAAAAAACACATTCCGGGGAGAAACCTTATAAATGCGTTGTCTGTGAAAAAACATTCGGTCAACAATCTGATCTCAAGAAACATGCACGTATACATACCGGCGAGAAACCATTTAAATGCGATGTCTGTGAAAAAACATTCAGTTTAAAGTCCTATCTCATAATTCATGAACGCATACATATTGGTGGGGTACGATACAAATGCTCAGCCTGTGACAAATCATATGGTCGCCAAGATACTCTCAAAAGGCATCAAGCAAAAGCACACGGCTCATAGTTTCATAAACCTTACGTGACTATTTGGCAGTTTTTCAAAATCGATTTGTTATTATTTTGCAATTTTTTTTACTTACGATTTATTTCAGATTTAGTATACTTTTATTAGTTTTCTTATAATATTTAATTTATTACTATCGGTTAACAGATCAATAACATAAGTATTAGTTTTTAATTTATTTTTTCGACGGATCACATGAATTATTTAGTATTTATATTTTTATAATGTATTTTTTAATTTTCATAATCTACACACACAATATGCTAAAAAATATTGTTACTATTCTTATTTTTTATTATAAAATGTCAGTAGTCTTTTTAGTTACAGATGGTTTTGAAGAGAATGGTTTATAATATATGTTAATTTGTATTTTAAAATTGATTTTTAATTTAAAATATTTGTTAATTTTTGAGCGTTGAATATGCGAACCATGTTTAAAATCAAAATAAAATATTTTATTAATTCGTCAACTATGATTACATTATGTTAGTTTCATTCATATTTTTAGAATAAGTTTTTCGTTTTTTTAATTCGAAGAATTATTAAGATTGAACCTGACCATTATTAATAAATGTCATTCGGGAAAGTAAGGAGAATATGCCTACTTCAATATATACGTTTATTATTAAATAATTAGTAAAAATAATTTTGTTCAATATATTTGTGTGATTAGTTCCCAAGAAAACATAATACCATGTTTGAGAGTAATAACATTAGTTTTATATTGAGACTTTTTTTTTATAAACATCTTTTTCAAATAATTATTAAATATTGGAATTTTAAATGATTTATGTACATGGATAAATTATATGACCATAATGAACAAACTGTTTAAGTGTTCGTCAAATATCGTCTATGTTTAAAGAACTATTCGTAAGTGCCACTTTTGTTTGGGCATGCACCATTTTGACGTGGCTAAACATGTTCGTCTAAGACATCGGCTATCCGCCTCTTTGATTGTGACATATTTAATTTGACGGGTTGTTAAATTACTCCGCCTTGTTGAGGCTCGTTTAAGACAATTTAGTTAAAATGAAAAGTATATTTCACTAAGACTAATACAGTCTAATGGTTAAACACTTTTAGAAATTTAGTATAATTGTTTAGTGTTTTAAATCGTAAAATATAGAAGCATTTGAAAAAAAAAGGTTTTATTGTGTTATTTCTTTTAATAATCTTTGATACAAGAGTTTGGTATTTAATTTATTTGCCTCCGAAAATGCACGACAGTTAACCTTCACGCTACAAAGTACCTCCATCTGTGGCAATCACTCGTTATCAAACAAACGCACACTATCACAAATCTGTCCATACAATTTCTGCGTTGTATCGTGCACTGTGCAGTTTGCATTAAAATCACAATTGAAATAAAAGTTTTGATTTTTTAATTAAGATTAATATTTGTACACTCTGCTGAAGTTCTGTGAATCAACCTAGTGAAACAATTAGATTGAGCGCCCTAGGTACAATTGGTTTTCTGTATTGTCGCCACGGCCCGCTTCGTGAGAATATCTAGATTTTAATCATAATTACTTGGTCGAATTCTGTGATAAATACCTAACGTACTGCGTTGTGTTTCTTTATTTCGTTTCAAGTTGCGTTACAATTGAGTTTTGTCTTGCATGTCAATAGTTTATTATAAGTTTTCAGTAGCAGCCCTGGAAAGCGGATTACGGTTCTACGTTGTGTGAGTACCTATTGTTTTGTATTTCTAATTTATATACATTATTGCCGTGTTTACTGTCTCCCGAGGACTTAAAACACTGCTTGTGAATAAAAAGAATCATAATTTATATTTGGTTGCTTATTACTTAATATTTACCCGGAGTTGAGCAGAGTTATATGGGATCAACACCATTTTTAATTAATCTAGTTGGCAAAATGGGCAATCGTCTAGCTTTGATCTTTATTGTGTTAGCTTCTTACCTATAAGTCATGCTTGTAATTTGTCAATTATAGAGTTTTGAAGCTGTATAATATGTTCAAAATTAAACCTGAAAATGACGATGCAGAAGAATACTCTGTTGAATAAACGTTCGGAGTCGTTGAACCAAAACCGTTAGATGTGCTGTTCAAAACCATTGAAATATCTACAACAGAGGAGTATTTGGTTAAGAATGAAGTCGATGATACTTATGAGTAAGGCGATTTTTATTACCATTTTTTTTATCTTGAACAAAATTATTAAAACTTGTGCCTGATGGTATCAATATAAGAGTTTAACTAAGATTTAACTTATATTGGGAACCACTTGTTCATTTAATAATAGATTGATTGTTTTAAAACTACATCTACTTCTTATCAATATAAAAATACATTAAAATATTAAAAAAAAAAAAAAATTGTAAACATTTAATTTGTGGGTATGTTGTCTGCAGCACCACATTATGTTAGCGTAAGTTTTGTACGATACTTACCGAGTTATTTATATAAATATATAGAAAACATTTTTACAATTATTTTTCATTTTTTTATTAAGTTAAAAAAAATGCGAATAAGTGTCATTTTTTATTACAAAAACTATATATTAAAATTCATGTTTTTTTACTATCAGAAATTTCATTTAAGTTAAATAAACATTTTTTATGAATAGATTAGGCTATCTAATTTTTTTAAAATTTATAATATGATTAATCTTCGAGTTTAGAATGTAAACTAAATTATCTTTACTATATCATTATTAGACTATATTTGTTACTAAATAAAATAATTAAAATTGTGCAATTTAGTTGTCCAAATAAACCTCTTTGCATATATGGCACAGAAATACAACTAATGTTAAATGTCAATTATAGAGTTTTGAAGCGGTATAATATATTAAAAATTAAACCTGAAAATGACGATGCAGAAGAATGCTCCTTTGAAAAATCTAAACCGTTAGATGTGCTGTTCATAAACAATTCAATTTCTACAACAGAGGAGAATTTGGTAAAGAATGAAGTCGACAATACTTATGGGTAAGGTGATATTTATTAAAAAATAATTTTTATCTTAAATAAACTATTAACTGGTGTTTATGTTGTTCTCCTCTATACACCTAACGTTGTTATCCATGTTAGCGTTCTGCTATTAAACTTATATTAGGAACTACTTGCTAATATAATAATAGATTGTTTTATAACTGCATTTACCTCTTATCAACATATTGTTAAATCACAGTATAGAAAAAAAAAAAAATTGTAAACATTAATTGGTGGGTATGATGACCGGTTTACATCTGCAGTATCGCATTATTGTTAGCGTACGTTAGCATGGGACTTAAATGTGTTGTACATATAAATGACAAAGATGGGTCACTCCACGTGAAATCATCTATTGGGTGGGTGACTATACTTCAAAATGTTTGACATTTGAACATACATTTTTTATAGATAAATTAAAAAAAAGGTGTGATTTTTTAAAATAAATACTGAATGCTAACAGTTAAAAAAAAAATGTAATAAGTAATAGCGTTTTATATTTTTTATTAAATACATTTTTTAATTATCAAAATTAAAAATTAAAACTGAACGGAAAACTTTAAAGAAATAGACTTCAAGTAATGTCCTCATAGTAAAATACTTAAAACTTAATAAAAATAATTATTAATTAGATAGTCTTTAATCGCATATCTCTAATTTTTAGCATCCATGTTAAAAGCTTAGTTTAGTCGTTTCATGTGAAATTTTTATTTCTGCCAAGTTAAGGGTTAAAAGACGTCGGTCATTTAAATGTCTCAAGGTACTCAATGTAAAAGTGGACTTAAAACAAAGTAGACTTTCTAGGTTTAAAATCTTATGTTATTCGGACGTTAAATATCCTTATTTTAACAAATGTGAACGTTACATTGTATTTTATAGGAAAATTTTAGGCAACTGAATCCAATAAAAATTGCCTTAATAGTAGATCATTATATGTCATGTAAAATCAATAAATTAATTTCTAAAAATGATGCGTTGTACATTTAATATTAGTAATATTAATACTTGCTGTATAATATCAAAATATATTTGTCTTAAATTAATCTATTATGTTCCATACATGTTGCAGTATTAATTTTCCGTGTAAAGCGACCGATACCTCAAACAATACAAAAACCATGGATTGCAGTTTGAACAAAACTATAGAAAACGATTCTGAGAAAAAACATACACAAAATACGTCGGTTTGACTGCAATATATGTCAAAGAAGGTTTACAACCAAAAGTAATATAATCCGGCATATTGCGAAATCGCATTCCAGTACTTCCATTGCAAAGAAAACACCTCAAAAAAATAAAGTCAATCATCGTAACAGCAAAATCAAAGGGTATACTCGAAATAAGATGGCCTATTTAATTGTGGTATTTGTTTGAAAAGTTGTTCATCAAAATCAAGCCTGAGAAGACATTGGCGCGTTCATACCGGCGAGAAGCCCTTTAAATGCAATATTTGTGAAAAAAAATTTGGTCAGATATCTCACCTCAAAACTCATAAACGCATACACACGGAGAGAAACCTTTTAAATGCAATGTCTGTGAAAAAACATTTGGTGTCCAGTCTTCACTCAACACTCATGAAAGAACACATACCGGCGAGAAACCATTTAGATGCGATATCTGTTGAAAAACATACATTCAAAAATCTGATCTCAAGAAACATGAACGTGTACATACCGCGAGAAACCATTTAAATGCGATGTCTGTAAAAAATGTTTTAATAGACAATGTACCCTCAAAACTCATAAAAGAACACATACCGGCGAAAAACCATTTAAATGCGATGTCTGTCAAAAGTCTTTTTGTGACAAATCTAACCTCAGAACTCATAAAAAGATACATAAAGATACCAGCAGGAAGTTATTTAAATGCGATGTCTGTAAAAAATGTTTTAATGGACAATGTACCCTCAAAACTCATGAAAGATCACATACCGGGGTTAAACCCTATAAATGCGATATCTGTATAAAAAGATTTAGTAGACAATCTTACCTCAAAACTCATGAACGCATACACATCGGAGAGAATTCTTTTAAATGCAATGTCTGTGAAAAAACATTTGGTAGACAAGATAACCTAAAAACTCATGAACGCATACACACCGGCGAGAAACCATTTAAATGCGTTATCTGTGAAAAAACATTCAGTCAAAAGTCCTCTCTCATAATTCATGAACGCATACATATTGGTGGGGTACGACACAAATGCTCAGTCTGTGATAAATCATATGGTCGCCAAGATGCCCTCAAAAGTCATCAAGCAAAAGCACACGGCTCATAGATTCATAAACCTCACGTGGCTTTTTAGCAGTTTCAAAATAGTTTTTCAAAATCTATTTGTTAATTTTTTTTACTTAGGATTTAATTCAGATTTAATATATTTTTATTCGTTTTCTTATCATCTTTAAATATTTCTATCGTTTAACTGATTATTAACATACACACTTGCACAAAGACATTTAGTGAAACCAATGTGTTTTATACATATTTAGCGTGTACTCAACATGTTATTTAATTTGGCAATTTAGTTTTACTGTTAAATTGAGTAACTTAAGATTGTACAAACTTTACCAATAGATATCAATGTATTTAGTATTTACATTTAGTATTAGTTGATAGAAACATATGTACCCATATACATTTACTTTTTATTCTTGACTAAAATGAACAAATATGTGCTTAAATCGAAAACTGTGTAAATAAATATTACTTATAAACTGTTATAATTATATAGCATAATATTAATATTATTTAAAAATGATTTCAGAACACTAATTCATAATTAGGGTATTTTCTCGTTTTAAGTATTCTTACATGCTTAATTAAATTAATTATTATTAATAATAGTTAATGAATTAAACTTATTTTTAAAATGTTATACATTTTTCTGTATTGTTGATTCATTCGTATTTGTTAATTCTTTGGGAGATTATTGAGTTGCTACAGCCTACGGAAAGAAATCGTTTAAGCGTTTTAAAACACACACAAAATATAAGAATGTGAGACCAAATTTTTAAAATCAATACACTCTCAGCTCCGCATAGAAGTTAAAAATATTACTTCTGTTTATTATGCTTTGTGTTGTATTAGCTTTGATGCGATGCTGAAAAAATATTACAATGATATTGACTCAATGCGTTTTTCTAGTTCATCTCTTCTACCTTCTTAATCTAAAATAACTCACTAAAAATTAAAGCATTTTAGCTTCGATGCAAAGCGAGAAGGTATTGGTTTTACTCTGATGTGGGCTTTTTTGTTAGCTGTACGCACTGTAACTTTTTTAATACTAGACCAATTCCTTCGAATAGCAACTCTATAAATCACAAATTTTATCTAGTTTGTACTTTGGGGGGGGGGGGGTAAAAGTTGAGAAAGTTTAATTCTTCACAGACGAAATTTGAAAAAACAAAAAAAAACCGTGCGAGTTTTTAAGTTAGAACTTGAACTCAACTATGAGTTATAAGGTCAAACTACCTGCAAATCATGAAGAGGTCTGTTGTTTTTTGGATTCAGATTAAGTGTTGGGTTTTATGCAGTATACCGCCTTAAAATGTGTTTTTTATTACACAATTTTTTTAAAGGAAAACTAATGTTTTGCATAATATTATACTGTTTTCATTTAAAGAGATTCACGCTTGATTGTTTAAATTGTCTAATATTACATAACCTGCTTCGTGCTAATTTTAATTTTTTAGTTTATAACTTGTAGCTCTAATTTTGTTAAAATATTTCATTATTTTATTACTATGTATAAATTAAGATAAATTTTAATGATAATTAAGTCATAAATGATAATACTTTATTTTATGACTAGATCAAATCTCGTGAACATTTAACATCATGATATCAGCTCCTATGCTTTTATTAAAATAACACAATTTTTAAAATCTCCATAAAAGGTTATTGTTAAATAACAGCAACACCCGACCGCTAGTGGCTATACACGTTAGTAATATTTAACTAATAAGTAATATGTGTAGGTAAAATTTATTGTTTCCTCCATCACAGTACCAGTATACGATTTATTTTAATTTAAAATGTAAGAAAATCGATTTTTCTTTAGAAAATAACAAGATATTAATATACAGGATGAGGCAGTAAAACGGCAATTTCTAATGTATTTAAATGGGAAACCCCGTTACACTATCCACCCTTTACATTTTAAGGATCTATGGAAAGATTTTTTCAGTTGCATTTTATTTTGTACATTGTGAATCTAGTAAAATAGAAGTATAATATAGCTTTGAAATAATATAATCTATGAAGTATAAATAGTTTGTGTGAGATTGCTCTAATGGAAGTATATAATATATATTATTATAGTATATAAGTATATAGTATAAATATTAATTTTATTGAAAATTTAAAAATTAGACCGAAGGTATGAAGGGATCAAGAATGGAAGTATAGGTACAATTTTTTCAAAATTCTGAGGTCAAGCGTTTTATTTTAAAGTGATTATATCACTTTCAGTTGTAACATTTCCTGTAGACCTGTGACATCCCAATCTCTACTATGCCCAACTGTGCTGGCTTTCTTTAACACCTATTTTTGGTTGATATTATTATATTAAATATTAAATTTACAAGTAGGGGCAAGGGCGGATACAAGCGGGTGAATAGGGCAATTGCCTCCCCGTTCACAAAAAAAGTATCAAATATTCCATTTATAATTAATTGTGACTAAAATTTTGTTCATGCAAGTTATCGAGAGAGGGTCGTTATTGTATTTACCATGAACATTTATTTTTTTTTGAAAATTGTCCATTTTTATTTTATTGAAATAGTGTTTACGGCATCCGAAGCGCCACATTTTATCTACAACCGGTTATTTATGGGGTTTGACACAGTACACATACAAAGATATATGATATTACCTGCTATATTCTACGGTTTTGCGATAACACTAGTCACCAAGACGATCTATTTTTAAATTAATATGACGTACTACAATGGCTTTACCGCTCCTCGCTGCTTGCCGCATTAGTTTTGTTTTGACAGTAGTTTAATTTATTTTATAAAACAAATAATATGAAGTTATTATATTATGGTTTAACTTTGACAAGAGCTTAAAAAAAAAAAGTATTGTAGACTAAGTTAAGCTATATTTGTTGGACTCCGTCTCACAAGTCGTGTTTGCGGTGACCAACATAAATTTTACTAAATCATCTAAAATCAATCAAATCTAAAAAATCATTAGTTTAATAGTTATTTTAGAGCCAAAGCTTTTTTTTTTAAGTAAGCAAAATGGTGACCTCTGATTATTTACTCGCCGATTTTCAATGAAAAAAGCACTAGTTTATTGTTTATAAAAAATATAATTTTAAATAAAAACAAACCTTTGATCAGGCACTAGTTTTTTATGCTTTTAATAAGCTGTATAAATTTCATTCAAATCTGTGAAGTGGTTTTTTAAATTACAGTGGTCACCGTCTTTGAAGAAATAGTTTCTAGAAAAACTTATTTGAAAAGTTTTATACTCGATTCATGTATACAAAAATAAATTATTTAATTACTTACATCGAGTTATCTATTCCTTTGATTAACTTAAAATTTTCAGATAATATTTTCAAGACATCATACTTTAAGAAAATACAAATTAAAAAAATCGAATATTTGAAAATCCTGACTACCCCTAACACCTAA